GATGAAATCCTTGGACCCATTATCAGACCCTATACTAGTGCAGTGGGTCCTGGGTTCCTCCTGGTGCACGACAATGCCCGGCTTCATGTGGCAAGAGAATGCAGGCAGTTTCTGAAGGATGAAGGAATTGATACCACTGAATGGCCCCCACGCTCTCCTGACTTAAAAACAGTAGAACGCCTCTGGGATATCATGTTCCGGTCCATCCTACAACACCAGGTTGCACCTCAGACTGTCCAGGAGCTCAGTGACGCCCTGGTCCAGATCTGGGAGGAAATACCCCAGGACACCATCCATTGTCTCATTAGGAGCATGCCCCAATGTTATCAGGCATGCATACAAGCACATGGGGGCTATACAAACTACCATTCTTCTGAGTTGCTGCAATGAAATTTCACCAAAATGGACTAGCCTGCTGCATAATTTTTTCACTTTGATTTTTTTTGGGTGTCTTTGAATTCAGTCCTCTGTAGGTTGATAATTTTCATTTCCATCAAATGATGGGGCATCCTTACATTCCTAACACATTCTCCAGTCCATATCAGTATAGATATCCAGCATGAGATTTTTCCCCATTGAGATCTGATGTGTTTTCAAAGTGTTCCTTTAATTTTTTTGGAGCAGTTTATTTACTAAAATAATTGCACTTCCATGTTCTGTATACTGTGAAAGACCAGATATAGTGCATGCAGGGTAAATTAGTACCCCTGTCCAGCAAATCCCCGGCTTATTAGTACCCTTGTTCAGCAGGTGCTTCGCTCAGTAGTACCTTCAGCTCTGCTGATGCCCCATTCAATAGTGCCCCCAGCTCTCCTGATCCTCTGCTCAGTAGAAACCCCCAGCTCTGCTGATCCCCCACTCAGTAGCAACCCCCAGCTCTGCTGATCCCCTGGTTTTCTTATCCACCTCTCTCTCTCTCATGCCCACTCATCTACCACTATATTGCTTCCACACTGCACACCACACATGAAAGTCTGCTAGTTTTTTTCCTGCTCATGTTCCCCAGCTCCGCTGATCCTCTGCCACTCAGTCCTCTCTCTATGATCCCCATTCATCTTTCGCTATAGCGTTCCCATGTTGCATACAACATGTGCTGTCTGCTCCAGTTCAGACCCCACGCACCTTCCTGCTGCTTCATGCTGCGCACCAGATGTGACATCCCCACTAGGCACTCCCAGAATATATACAGGAATTGGAAGTGACTGCATCTTTCCTGTTTGCCTATTGGTTTCCCAGTGCATCTTGGGATTTCTCTTACCTGCAATACCTCCAAAAAAAGTGAAGCTAATGCTGAATAAAGGTCCCTCAAAAGCTGCAGGTGCTGTAAGCAAGCTTTGTCATAGACTTCTATGAAGGCTTTGGAGATGCTTTGAAGCACCAAGAAAGGGACATGGGGTATAGTTTTTGAAGCAAATAAAATGGTAAGTAAAAGCAACGTGTGAACAGGACTGTAAGCTAACCATTTATTTTAATGACAGGTACTTTGATTGGCATTCATAGTGCTTTAAAAAAGCATGCCAAACGCCACATTTTGAAGCAAATGTAAATGATCTCTTAGCTATGATTATTTTCACACAGTGACCCTTGAAGCCCATATCATTGCTGACCCTGCCATCCTCCTACTGCAGCTTGTATTGGCCCTACAAGCATATGATCAGACCAATGTGTCAGTCTGATGTCCCTGAGAGAATTGGCCACTCAATGGACGATCAGGAGACATTATATCCAGTCTATATGCAATACACTTTTATATTTCACAACATATTGAGATTCAGTTTCATCACATTCCTTCTGCAGTTCTAACAGGATTACATGGAAAGCAATAGAATGTACATAACAATGGTATTTACCCCTACCTGTTTACTATATGTGTTGTACTGTATACATTACATCGCCAAACTTACTTTAGAAATACAGTAAATATGGGAAAAAGTGGAAATCTAAGCTTGGCTGTTTGTGAGCACAGGTGGCTTTTCATTAGTTTCCGATATTTTATTAGCTATGTTTAAAGCAGAATTTAAAAAAAAAAAACATTTATTTGTTGTAGCTTGCCAATGTGCAGATGTGATGGCTGCATTTGTTTTCTTTTTTTGCATTTCTTTCCTTTATTTTCACCTGGTGATCTGTTCTTTAAGTCTGTTGATTTTCAGATGTATCAATTACAGGGACGAGCCAAACCATTTACTACTGACAAGGATGCTTACAATGATCATCTTTTATTTAACCGCCTCCTGCACCTGCCATATAGTAAAATGACAGACGCAAGGTGGTTCTCTCATTCTGGGAAGACATCATGATGTCCTCCCATTCTAACCGCGCTCCGGATGTGCAGCGTGGCGATCGGCAGTGCGCTATGTCCCTCAGACACAGTGGATCACCGATCAACGAAAGAGCCGAAGATGTCGGCTCAGGTCATGTGATCAGCTGTGTCCAATCACAGCTGATCGCATGTAAATAGGGAAAGGCCGGTTATCGGCATTTCTCTCCTCACGGGCTGTCACGCTGACAGAGGAGAGGAGAGCCAGTAATCGGCTTTACTCAGAGGGGACATGTACACTGATCATCAGGGCACTGATGCTCAGTGTGCCCTGATGATCTGTGTAGCCCCAGCAGTGCCACCTGTCAGTGTCCATCAGTGTCCAGCTGTAAGTGCTCATCCATGTCACCTCCCCTACCCATCGGTGCCACATCAGTGCCACATATCAGTGTCTACCAGTGCACATCAATGCCACACATATCAGTGCCTATCTGAGCTGCCTTTCAGTGTCACCCATCAGTGCCAGTCAGTGCTGCCAATCAGCAGTGCCACCTATCATTGCCCGCCAATCAGTGCCACCTAACAGTGCTGCCTTTTAGTGCCCATCAGTGATGCCTGTCAATGCCCTTCAGTGTCACCTACCAGTGCCTCCTCATCATTGCCACCTATCAGTATCCATCAGTGCAGCCTATCAGAGCACATCAGTGAAGGTGAAAAATCTCTTATTTACAAAATTTTATAACAAAAACTAAGAAAAAACTTTTTTTTTTTTTTTTTCAAAATTTTCAGTGGTTTTTGGTTTGTTTAAGAAAAAAAAAAAAAAAAACCCAGAAGTGATTAAATACCACAAAAATAAAGCTCTATCTGTCACAAAAAAATGATAAAAAATTTCATATAGTTACAGTTTTGCATGACCGCGTAATTGTCATTCAAAGTGCAAACAGCGCTGAAAGCTGGAAATTGGCCTGGGCAGGAAGGGGGTATAAGTGCCCTGTAGGCTAGTGGTTAAAATATGTAAAACCTTTATCCCAAAATGAAAAAAAAAATGTTTGCTGTGACTGGAGTTTGGTTTCAATCTATTAGTGTATCCATATCTGCTAGTCAATCTAACACTTCCCTCCCCCCCCCCCCCCCCCCAGACTGACAATGCTGCTGTCCAACGGTGCCCCTGTGCTTATTCATCCAAAGTGGCGACACTCCAGGAAGGCGTTTCACCATGTGAAAACAAAGGGAGAAAAGCCTAAGAAAAGAAAACTAATGCAGCCACCACATCAAATGGTTGGTAAGCTGCAATATATCACATTTTTTGTTTTGGGTATAATACCGTTGTATGGTGCATGCATTGCTTACACAGAGTTTAGCATATATGGCAACTGTATAAGGGTTTACTTAAAGAGAAAATGTGGTGTTTTCTCAGTGAATACATATTGCTGTTCCATATTTCTGTAGCCCCAGCCAGAAACTCACAGGGGAAGGAGCGGCTACAATTTCACTGTGTCTGCAGCTCTACTACTGCCCTTGCTTGTGTTCACAGAAAACTTTAACACAGATATATCTGAAGGATAGACTGCTACTACAAAACATAGAGCAGCCAGTGCTAATCCCACTCTCCAACCACTAGGGGGCACACTGAAAATGTAGACTGCTAGAGACTCTGGAAAGGAGTGGGGAGGGTTGAGGGAGGTATAGTTTGATACAAATGTAGCAATACCCCATTAGGAGTTGCTAGAAGATTTGGTTCCCCACTATAGTCCAGCACAGCCAGGCACCGCACATCTTCACACAGGCTTGCATCTGGAGTCAGAAATCAGCCCTTGACCTTTGGTTTTGATGTTTAATTAGAGAATTTATACTGGGATAGGGTTAGGGGTGTAACGAATGCCCAAGGGAACTGATGAACTGAGGACAACTTCCTGGAACTATTTACAATCCTTCACTGCAACACAGTCTCTGTTGAAGAGCTAACCAGTGTCATCTTAATGTACCACCCCAGACCCTAGATTAACTTCTCCTCCTCCATTAACCTCCCTAGTGGTCTGATTATGTCCATATTTCTGTGCTCAAAGCGGTACATTTTTTTTTTGCATGGAAATATGTATTTTTTTTATTGTAGGCCTGTCGTTTTTTGGAATAACTCACTGAAATCTGTCCGAACAAGTGTCTAGTAAACATCCCGGGTAGGATAAAACTTGAAACACAAAATCATAAATTATAATTTAATAAATAATCATAAAAAATAATAATATAATAATAATACATTTAATTCAATAATATAATCAAACCAAAAACACTGAAATTTGAAATATAGCACCAAGTTCGCACATCACTGAGCAAAGTCGCAAAATCGTTTTCAGTGTCTAATGACGAATTTCCCCACAAATCATTATCACTCAATTCTGCAAGTGGTTCTGATTTACTATCACTGTTCTCTAGCCGGTCTAAAAAAACCGATTTTGACCTAAAGGGACGCTTTTTGGACGCCATGGACATTTCTCAGTTTCCAGGCAGAAAGAACAGTAAAAATGCAGGCAGGGCACAGGACAAAGCACTCGGGACAAAATGTATGTGAAATGGTTTGATACAGTAATGTAATATTATGTGATTTTAGTGAATGTCACTTTTTGTCATTTTCAAATTTCCCGCCAGTTCCGTCCCCCGTACATCCCGACGTCGCAGGGAACGTAACCCGGAAGACAGATGTCGGCATCAGCTGGATTACATTGCCGGGGACACTGCAGGAAGGACATCGCGGGAGCGCAGGACAAGGTAAGTGATCGAGGGATTGCGGAGCAGCGCCGCATGGTAAGCCCGAGTGTAGCTCGGGGTTACCGCTTGTGGTACTGAAACTTTACCCCGAGATACACTCGGGAATACCGCCAGGGAGGCTACGAAATGGACAGTCCCAAATAGGCAGCAAATCTGTTTAATAGATGTAATAAAAACTTTTCGCACTGCTACTAGAAACGATGGGACTATTGGGACAGCAGCACACACCTGGCTATACCACTAGCAAAAAACAAACAGAAAATTGATGTTGCGCTAATCACAATAATGCCACAGACATTCCAAGACAAATAATGAGATGAGAAGACAATAGATAATACACCATAACCACCATAACATAATCAGTAAATGGAAGGAATATGGGAGTGAAGGGAAAGGTGAAATAATAAAGGTCCAAAATGAGGACCAAAAGGTGTAACAGACAATAATCCATGACCTTGGGTAAAACGCATGGAAATGATCAGGGAAAAATAAAATATTAACAAAAGCACAGTAATAGTAGGACATAAGAGTCCGTCATAACATAATGAAATAACGTGAATGCAAAATGTGAAAAATACAAAATGAAGTGCTTAAATATTAAAAGTGGACAAACCACTTATCACAGAAGAATGACAATAACAACGTACAGAGAGGCCAAAAAATGTGACCATGCAACTAAAGAGTCATACCACAATGTGCAACAAAAGGCCATGTGACATAAATTGACTAATAAGTGACCATATAAATACCATAAATAAATGTGGCAAGCATATATAGAGTGCAACTAGTATAAAGCAGAAAATGGTGATACAAATGCACAGTGAAACCAAATGAATGTATTACTGTGCAACGTAAAATACAATAACACAATGAAGAAATAAATAATGTGACTAAAAAAAAAAAAAATTCATAAATGCGACATAAAGTCCATGTGCAAAAACGTCCAGCAAAAACGCATCCAAAAAAAAACAAAACATGGATAGGTAAATGATTGTTGAATCCCACACCGGCTAAAATGCCTCCTCACCTCCGTACCCAGACCCCAAGGGGCCAAAAAGGCTTTCAGGACACTCGCTGCAGGGGCTCTTTAAGTAGAATACGGCAATGCAGGGATGATATCCCCCTCACTGGTGGACCATGCTGTTCAGCGGTGGTAATATATCTTTCAACTTTGGACACGGAAATCAGCCAGTGCACAGAACTCCTGCCAGGGGTCCGTTGGACCAGAAAAAACAGCCAGCTCACAACACTCCCAGGTAGACAAGAAAAAGTGCTTACATAGAGTAATATTGTAAATGAATCAAATTTATTGTAAAGACAAATGCGCACATACATGGGAACAGATCAAACAAGGCATCAGTCACATGTGCAGATATGGGTGTACTGGGTGTACCAATATGACTGCGTCCATTCATGTCAGAAATTACGTCACCACATTCCGCTCTCTGACCAACGCGTTACATCAGTGTCACATGACTTCATCAGGGTACAGTAGTGGTGACACTGGACTCCTTTTATAGGAAGCTCATAGGTGAAACTAATCTCAGGGGCAGGTGACTGGCAGCCATTTTCCTGGAGCTCGATGTGCAGCAGCCATAATGTTGAAGACCATAGGGACAACCACTGCATAGAAAAATGCTCAGGCTGGATAAAAACAATCCTTTAATGGAACTTTTAAAAATCGGGGAAAAAAGGAAAAGCAAGATAAGAAAAAACACAAAAATAAACATATATATATGAACATACACTAAGGGGCAACTAAAGGCACAAAAATACTATATGAAAATAGTATAAATAAAAGTAAAACTTAATGGACAAGACCCTAAAAAAAAATCCAAAATGGACACAGATGGATGAATACAAATAACTCTAGTGTGAAGAATCAATAAAGGGGAATAATACAGGAAAATGGGGCAATACTAATTCGGGGTAAAAAATCTCAGCCTAAAAAATGCATGAAAAATCTCAGCTTAGAAAATGCATGAACAACCGCACATAAAAAGGAGGAAAAATATATAATAATAAAAAAAAAAAATATAATATATATATATATATACTGTGAAGGAAATAAGTATTTGATCCCCTGCTGATTTTGAATGTTTGCCCACTCACAAAGAAATGATCAGTCTAAAAACCGAATGGTAGGTGTATTGTAACACTGAGAGACAGAATAGCAACCAAAAATTCTAAAGAAATGCATGTCTAACAAATTATGCACTGATTTCCATTTTCATTAGGGAAATAAGTATTTGATCCCCTTCACAAAACATGACTTAGTACTTGTTGGCAATCACAGAGGTCAGACGTTTCCTGTAGTTGGCCGCCAGGTTTGCACACATCTCAGGAGGGATTTTGGCCCACTACTCTTGGCAGATCCTCTCCAAGTCAATAAGGTTTGGTGGCTGACGTTTGGCAACTCGAACTTTCAGCTCCCTCCACAGATTTTAAATCGGATTAAGGTCTGGAGACTGGCTAGGCCACTTCAGGACCTTAACATCCTTAGCGGTATTCCCGAGTGTAGCTCGGGGTAAAAATTTCTATACCAAGAGCGGTAACCCCGAGCTACACTCGGGCTTACCCTGTGGCGTTGCTCTGGGGGTCCCTGCAGCACTTACCTTGTCCTTCGCTCCCACGATGTGTCCCCTGCAGCGTCCCCGGCCATCTCCTCCGGCCGATGCCGGCATCCGGCTTCTGTGTTCCGGCCCCTGTGACGTCGGGACGTACGGGTGCCAGAATCGGCGGGAAATTTGAAATTTTTAAAAAATGTCATTTATGCTGTCATTGCTATTTCAATGCATTTCACATATATTTTGTCCCTACTGCTTTGTCCTGTGCCCTGCCTGCATTTTTACTGTTCTTTCTGCCTGGAAACTTAGAAAAGTCCATAGCGTCCAAAAAGCATCCCTTTACGTCAAAAGCGGTTTTAGAACAGCAATAGTAAATCAGAACCACTTGCAGAATTGAGTGATAATGATTCGTGGGGAAATTCATCATCAGACACTGAAAACGATTTTGCGACCTTGCTCAGTGAATTTGCCTCTGTATTTCAAATTTCAGTGTTTTTGGTTTGATTACATTATTGAATTAAATTTATTATTATATTATTATTTTTTTTATGATTATTTATTAAATTATAATTTATGATTTCGTGTTTCAAATTTTATCATATCCGGAATGTTTACTAGACTCTTGTTCGTACAGATTTCAGTGAGTTATTCCTAAAAATGACAGCCTACAATAAAAAACTACATATTTCCATGCAAAAAAATGGTACCGCTTTCAGCACAAAAAATCGGAAAGAATCATACTGCCAAGGAAATTAATGTGCTTCTTCTTGAGCCTCTCCTTCGTTGCCTTGGCCTTGTAATTTGGGTCATTGTCATGCTGGAACCATTTTCAATGCCCTGGCTGAGGGAAGAAGGTTCTCACCCAAGATTTGACGGTACATTGCTCTGTCCATCGTCCCTTTGTTGCGGTGCAGTTGTCTTGTCCCCTTAGCAGAAAAGCACCCCCAAAGCAGAATGTTTCCACCACCATGTTTGACAGTTGGGATGGTGTTCTTGGGGTCATAGGCAGCATTCCTCCTCCTCCAAACACGGCGAGTTGAGTTGATGCCAAAGAGCTCGATTTTGGTCTCATCTGACCACAGCACTTTCAACCAGTCCTCCTCTGCATCATTCAGATGTTCAATGGCAAACTTTAGACAGGCCTGGACATGTGCTTTCTTGAGCAGAGGGACCTTGTGGGCACTGCAGGGTTTCAATCCTTGTCGGCGTTGTGTGTTACCAATTGTTGTCTTGGTGACTGTGGTCCTGGAGATCATTGATAAGATCCTCGCGTGTAGTTCTGGGATGATTCCTCACTGTTCTCATGATCATTGACACTCCACGAGGTGAGATCTTGCATGGTGCACCAGACCCAGGGAGACTGACAGTTGTTTTGTGTTTCTTCCATTTGCGAATGATTGCACCAACTGTTGTCACCTTTTCACCAAGTTGATTGCCGATAGTTTGGTAGCCCAGTCCAGCCTTGTGTAGGTCTACAATCTTGTCCCTGACATCCTTGGACAGCTCTTTGGTCTTTTCCATGGTGGAGAGTTTGGAGTTTGATTGTTTGATTGTTCCTGTGGACAGGTGTCTTTTATACAGGTAACAAAATGAGATTAACAGCACTCCCTTTAAGAGACTGCTTCTAATCTCAGCTTGTTACCTGTATGAAAGATACCTGGTAGTCAGAAATCCTGCTGAATGATAGGGGATCAAATACTTATTTCCCTTATGAACATGCAAATCAGTGCATAATTTGTTAGACATGCATTTCTTTTGAATTTTTTGTTGCTATTCTGTATCTCAGTGTTGCAATTCGATGATCATTTCTTTGTGAGTGGGCAAACATTCAAAATCAGCAGGAAATACTTATTCCCTTCACTATACACATATATATATATATATATATATATATATATATATATATAATATACAGGATTTATATAGCGCCAACAGTTTGCTCAGCGCTTTACAATATATATATATATATATATATATATATATATATATATATATATATAGGAGAACCAGATAAATTACCCATATGAATACATGCTAAAATGAAAGCACAAACTTTAATATACTAAAATAAAATGAAGAGGAATAGATGTTAACAAAGATGACACACATAATGGTACATATAAAAACAGCTAAAAAATGGGGGCCAGCGGAATGAATATATGCATTAAAGAAACTCAGCGAGACCTGATGAAAGGAAAAAAATATTATATAAAAAAACATGACCAAAGACTAAACAAAGAGATAATTGAATATAGAGGGGGAAACAACCTCAATAACAAAGGATCAATGATCCAAAAACTACCACTATAAAGTGACCCACCACTAGATGTAAAGAATCATCAAATGCTAAACATCACTAATAAAGCAGTTCATATCAAATTTGATATTAAGTCCTTTAGGGGCCTGGGTTTGCATAGCAAATATCCACTTAGATTTGACCTGGCTCAAGGCCCGAATCTTATGGCTCCCACTCCAATGGGGTTTATATTTCTCAATCCTCCAAAAGGTAAGTGATGCAGGGTCTCTATTATGTTGGGTAGTGAAATGTCTGGAGACGCTGTGTTTAGGATTCCAAATGTTTTGTACATGCTCTCTGACCCATTTCCATAGTGGCCTCTTTGTTCTGCCAATATATTGCAATCCACAACCACACTGAAGGGTGTAAACCACCCCCTAGGATCTACAGGTGATAAAATCCTTGGTTTGAAATTCAGAACCATTTGTATGCGAAGTAAAACCGGTTCGTTTATGATTCCTCACAGCAGTGGCCCTACATGAGTAGCATCTTTTGCAGGGGAAAAAACCTTTTGAGTCTAAAAAGGTAATTTGATAGTTATTGGCATCAGACAACTCGCTTGTCAATTCCTTCATGCAATATTCCTTGGAAAGGACAATAATGCCCTTCAGCGGGTCTGATGACGATGTCATTACGTCTAATCTTTTTACACCAATTTCAATACCTCTATTAGGATTATTCTTAGGTATTTTCAATCCCTCTAAATCTTGTATCACCATCTTTTTGAAGGCTTCAATTTTACTGCTGTCACTTAGCTCACCCATTGTCAGGAAGGGCATGCCAGCAAGTAAGATTACCTCTCTGGGCGGATTCCTGTGCGCAGTCGCAGGCCAGCTCACTGTGCTTCACATGCACTTAAGAAATGTGCAAATGCTTATAGACGTGCATGTACCCACTTGCAGCATGCGCATTGCGCATCTGTCACCAACGATGGCACCAAGCGGGCTATTTAACCTGAACCAGTGCTCTGGTTCAGTGCTCACTCATCTTCAGCATTCTGTGCATCTGGTGGCCTGTTACTCTGCATCTGATTCCAGTTACTGGCTCAGCGTGTCTTGACCATTTTATGAACTTCATCTGGACTGACTTGTCCGGCTTGCACCGGCTTGTCTCCTGACCTCTGCTTTCACCAGCTCCTATTGCCTGTTTACCGCTGATCTATTACTGACTCTGGCCTGTACCCTGACTATGCTCCTGCCTATGCACCTGTTACTGATGTGTTTACCACTGTCTGACCCAGCTTACCTGATTCTGCAGCTGTCCTACCCACTGTTGGGTTACCCACAACCTGTCAGTGCCTGCTCACCACCTGTCTGCAACCAGTCTGTGTCTCTTCTGTTTGCTGTCACCAGTACTGGCCTGTTCCTGCCTACTGCTTCCTGCCACTACCCTTCTCTGCTGTGGTCCCTAGTCAGCTCCCCTCTGTTTGGCCTGGATACCCCGCTCTACTCTTCTGCTAGCAAGACTAACAGGCACTCATGCGTTCCTGTGCCAGTGGTCAACTCTGTCAGGGGCCCCCGAGCCAGAGATGTAAGATAGGCCTTCCTCGTTGTGTCAGGCTCATCCACCAGGTACATGACACCCATTTGATCTCCAGCAGTCAATACATTGTGGTAGGGAGATAGCACAGACTCTCAAAATAAGTGGGGGTGCTAAGATCAGCCATAGTGTCAATGTGTTGGAACTGGTAATAGTAACAGGACAGGGAGAACATGTTTAATAGAAGCAGATTAATGTATGTGATTTAGTGAACTATGCTTGAATTTGGTGTATGGTAGTGATAGGTACACAGCCCAGGATGACGCATGGACAGGATTCCAGTTATCCTAGCACACAGGCACTGTGCCGGAATGCAGGTTGAGCATTCAAAAGAAGACTGCAAGCAGGCAGGTAGGTTTCTTTTATTGCAGAAGAGACATTATATGTCTCTTCTGCAATAAAGAATCTGCCTGCTCACCACCCTGCCCTATTCAGCATTCTCAGGTCTCTTCTAGGCTCTGGTTACCATTAGTTCCTGTCTGTTGTCAGTAGCTATCACTAGTGCCTTTGTCAGTAGTAGGAGAGGCTGCACTAATTGACTCTTTATCCCTCGTAGGCCAACCACTAGAAGGTTTATTGCTAGTTGTTCATGCTGGGAGAAGATATAAATATTTAGGGAGTGACCTTAGAGAGTTGGTTCTTCTTTGGGCCTTCTGCCTCAGGGAAGAATGTGCTTAGCATGTAGCCTGGGGATTGAGGAACTGTGGTGGAGCTCCAGATGTCTAGCTTCGATGTGAAGCTTCAACCTTACTGGAGTATGATGTCTTCTCCAGGTAGTGCCAGGTCAGCTTTGCAGTTCTCCATCTGATACTTTTGTTTCCCTTTAATGGGTATGCAGTGCTCTAACCCTCTGTCTCTGGAGCATTAAGTGAGACAATAAACTACGTTTTGGTTTTTGCATCTAAAAGTGACTGGTGCTCATCTGTAAACATTGCTCTACTATTGCTGAGGACAATACCCTGAGATGAAATGCTAGTCCATCCTGTCCCTGGACACCCACTAGCCTTTGGAGGTTGCAGTGGGTGCTACAGCAGCAATTAAAACCCTTCCTCATTTTATATTAAAAAAAAATCTTGCTGAAGTTGAACCGTGGTCACCACTCTAAATCAGTGAAACAAAAAAAAAATCAAATTAGTTTCTTTCATTTACTGCATTTTGCGCATCATCATTACTATTTGCAGTACTTTATTAAATCAAGTCCAGAAGTCTACTAGTAAATGAAGCCACTGATTAGACATTATTGTGACTCCTTGAATAACTTTCAAGGGATTATTAGTTTTATTATTGAGCTACTGATAAGAAGGTACTATGACTGCTGTTGTGTGAAACACTGCAAGACATGACAGACATCATAATTTCATATA